TCAACCACATAAAGTATGTATAGACAAGTTGTCCTCAGAACATTACACGCTTTTGAAGCAACGCGTAGGTGTACGGATGCTTGCTCGGATTCGAAGGAAACTGTGTGTGTGTGCGCGCGCGCGCGCACTAGTACACCGGAGCTGGGTTTAAGCTACGGAGAAATCTACGCTAATGATCTGTATAATGTTGAACAGCAGTTGTGTCTACAATAGTGGAACTGAGAATTCGACCAAGGTCGTTTTGAAAATCAGATTATTTGGTATACGAGAACTTCTGGCGCACCTCTACACATGCGTTTCACACTTGTAGAAAGAATGAATCCTGAAGGACTAAAAAGCCCGCAATCACAATGCATCCACAGTGTTTGATGACTGTGGATGCACGGATGGGTTCATGCAAATCTAATATGCTAAACTCTTTCATTCCCGTCCAAATGTCACTCGATCAACAATGCACGGTCTGATGTCGACCCCCCCCCCCCCATTCCGCCACATCTGGGAGATGAACAGTTTTCAGCGAGTATTTCCTCCAAGGCTGACTGTTTGATTTATTCATCAGGATGAATGGATTGGTATCAAGTCAGTATGCCCACGGCTTTCTAGCTAAGGGCAGGTCCACTGGTAAGGTAAACCGTTTCTACAAGCACAAGCAAGAAGTGGTGGCAAAACAATCATATAGTAAATGCCTCTATATAGTGTGCACCCAACCAACCGCCTCTTGTTCTACTGTTGTTCACATCATACTCCGATTCGAAGTGTGCCTATTCTGTTTCTTCTTCCACTATTGTGATCCCCTTTCAGACTGAGTCGATTCAAGATTACATGAAAAAGGTGATCGACTATTCGTGGTTCACGAACAAAAATGTCCAAATGAAAAAGGAGGCGATTGTGATCGAGATTGTGCGTTCGCTTCAGAGCATTTCCGACACAAAACATTTGAGAGAGGCCGAACTGGCTTTGATCCTGTTCAAGCGGTAAGTTATGACGCGGATAGATCAATATGGGAGTCGCTCGAAACTGAGGGGGATTTACATTATATATATATATATGTATATATATATATGTATACATTTAGATACATACGAGGGCTGTGCAGAAACTTTCCGGAAACATAGATACTTTTATTTGTTACACAAAAATATACATTCGATTTTCTCGAAGTATTCTCCACTGGCTTTCACATGCACACGGTTCCATAAGCCCAAACCATTTGGAGAAATAGCTCGACCATGCCGAAGAGCGTAATTACCCTTCGACCAGTTCCATAAAGACCCCTTCTGCAGCTTTTGGTGCCTCATCGAATTCCACAAACCACTCAAATACAGTGCTTTTTCGAAGGCGCGTCATCACCAAAGGCAGCTCGCTAAGGATCAAAACTCTGCTGCTGCTGCCGCCGCAAACCACATTTGTAGTCGTACAAAATCATCGCCATCCAGTGTGACAGCGACTGAGTTCCATCCTTCAGACAGTTCGAGTATATAGCGACCCTCGAATGACGTGTGAGCAAAAACAACGAAGGGAGGACCGAGAGAGACTCCACGATACTGCACATTCTGTGAGAGAGTACAGGACTAGCGTCGGTAGTTCAAACGAAACTAACTTGACTAGATGTCTCCTCGGTGAGGGATGCTCGGAGACGTTATGAACAGTTTTATGAATGAATTAAACTCAAACATGGGGACTATGCTCGAAAGTACCGTTTGACCCTTTTGTTTGAGTATGCATATCTATAGGCCCTGCAAAGTTCAGTTCTACTCAATTCTCGCAAATTTCCAGGCCAAATCCAAGTGTTCTCGACTATCAACTGTAGTGAATAATTATAATAATAACAGTGCGATACTATAAAATAATCCCTTACAAAACGCATTTCAAAAACACTTCAAATTGTGCCGTTTCCCCGGTAGATATGTCGGAACCGGCGAAACGAGCAATGCCATGCAAAATGAGAGGGAGAGTTCACCGCTCCGTTCAGTGAACCGGGGAAAATTGAAGTAGCGTCAGAGTAATTGTACGCTGGAATCTCCCATTAACCAGACTTACGGAAAAGGCCAAAAAAGCAGCGGGTCGTTTATTGAAAGAAATCGATGAGAATAAATAACAGTTGCAAAGGAATTTTATTGGTTATACAGGTCTCCACCAATGGCCTTCTTGTATTCTTGACTTACTGCAGCTTCTGTCTGGCCAGCACGACTTCTGATTGGTTGGCACAATTTGCCTGTGGTTCGTTGTCCAGAAACTGTAACGCGTCGCTCCGTGGCTGGTCGTCATCCCGTAGGATAGGATCACCACAACCGGCCGCGAGACGGGGTGAGAACGCATGAGTTTGTTAAGCGAACCAATAAATGGTGAACGGGAGGTGCATGTCTGGACACCTGTGGTGATCCTAGACTACGGGATGACGCAAACCACGGAGCGACAAGTTAAAGTTTCCGGATAACTGTGATGAGATAATACGTAGACAATCGCACGCTGAGGGGAGGGCGTAATAGGGTTGAAGATTGTAGATGAGGGACATACATGTGATAAGGGGAATAACTTTACATTAGACAAAGTTAAAAAGAGGAAGAGGAGATTGCGCGGTTACAATACTTTACATTTTGACCTTTTTCCACTGTATTCCAACACGTCTGTTGAGATGTCCAGGTAGCTAAACTTGTTCAATTGTCTGTGCATTCCCCGTTCCGTGATAACAACTTGGACGGTATCTCTTCAACCCTCACTTCCTCCGTTCAATCCTCCCCTGCGTGTATCACACACCCGTCCTCACCCCATCGACCAATCAGACAATATGGGATCAGTAACAATTGTCGAAACTACGTGCTAAAAGTAATGAACAAGCTATTCTTCAAATACCTCAATCTTCTCCGATTGGCTCGGAAAACAAAGCACTCCACGCGTCAGGATGCATTCATCCGCTCTTTGATCACACTCTCCGTGGAGGCAAACTATGGAGAGGATGTGACCGAGAAATTGGATATGTTGGAGGTAGGTATGCCGTGTAGCGTGCTCATCCGTGTGGCGTGCACATCCGTGCGGCCAATTCCGTGGTTCATGATTTCTTGTTGATATATAACTATGGTTTTAACTCTATCATCCATCTGCGGTTTTTGGTATACAATTCCTGATGATCGATTGTCTGATTATCTTGAAACATGCATGAAACTATTCGGGTGCGTTTGGCCGAATTCGCAAATGGGCTGTCACACTGTTTCTATCGGGTAGATAGAGACATTGAAAACGAACTTGCACTTTTATCCTATTTGAAGCGTGAGATGCTTTGATGGGGTCGGAGGGATGTAATACAAAGTAAGCGACCTTTTGGCATTTCCGTTCCCCTTTCGAGTGCTATAGATCCACAAGGCCAGTGCTGCTTTGACACATCGCTTAATTACGGGTAAAGAGTAAGTCTAGCTCCACAGATCAGAACACGCAAACTGAAATATTCAGTTCATGGCGTGATGAACGACTTTTAATCAGGAGTTAGACAGTTGAACAGTTGCTGTAATATTGAATTCACCGATCCGTTCTCGGATAGCTTGTTGACGGCTGACTATCGTGATAATCTGCCAATCGCTTAACACTTTTACACTTTATATGAGAGGATAAAACCTAGGGGTTGGGAGGATAGCATTAAACTGTGAGGAGTCGATCGTTTTGTGTGTGTGTGTGTGTGTTGCATACTACATTCTCATTTCTGTGCTTCCGGGATTTTCAGTTACGTCACTTTGGGCGTGTGACCCAAATTTGAGGAATCGTTGTTATTGTGTGAAGATATATGTGCGTGTGTGCAGGAGGGTACGGAGAGCTTGGATTAGATGTTTCTGGGCACATAGTTTGGGAGTCAAATGTTTAATACAGATGGCTCCCACCATGGCCAGGGTACGCATTCTAACATATTTAGATCGGTTTGGGGTACTGGACAAATAATGCGGAATATTCACACGATGACCAGTGTCTACCAAGTGGGCGAGAATCGCACTTGCGATAGATCCGGAACCGCCTTGACTCAGCTAGCGCTGGTAGTGTACTTTCATGGGAATAGATAACTGCCGCACGATCGACGTAGAGTCCTAACAGGCTTCGCTGGATAGAACACGTATTGCGCATGCCCAACCATCGTCTACTGCACCGCGCCCTACTCGCCGTTGCGGTTCCAGGTTGGAAGAAACCATGTGGAGATCAACAGATGACGTGGAAGAGATGCATGAAGAAATGCATAGAGCGATTAGGTAGAATCGGTGTCGCCCGTCTTCCAGTTTGGGGTCCGAAAGACTCTGCAACCGGATGGCTGAAGACACTGAAGGATATGGCGACTAACCGACAGCAGTGGCGTTCCTCTTGTCATTTTTTATCAATTCAGAATGCTTGAAAAGGTATGTATGCACACTTAGATTGTGTACTTTGTGTGTTCGCCATAGAGGTTCTATTTCCTTGCCTCCCTCCAATTAGACCCCATCCCTCTCCATCTTGTGCTTTATCACTTTGTGTACATTTGTGTACATTTTCAGCTTAGCAGCAGTCAATGAAGTTCGCTTCACTGTATCTCGCTGTAGGATGAGGATGATGATGATACGTCGCAAACGCATTTGGACGAGTAAACAATCATTGAAGCGGTCAACATTGGTACTTTAACTTTATTCCGCATGGTTATCAGTGGTGAAATTTCGAAAGAGCAGCGTAGCTGCGCGACGTTAAACGTGGCTTTTGCTGCTCCACCAAGTCATTTTATGAGGGTTTAGGCGGCAACTTTGCCCTTCCTTTGAAGGGCAAAGTTACAGGTTACTCTCTGCGTCGTGATACCAAACATTTTATCAGGTGCCTCCTCAGGTCATTCGGTAAATAATTGCCAAAATTCGGGTATTGGCCACTCCATGTTTTCTTATGGTATTGTGGTGATCGTGTAACGAGTACGCACGCACCGCGGTACAGATTCCAGGTAACCAATCAAGAAACAGGATAACCGACCAACCCTGTGGTCTCAATTGGCATCATCCGGATTGGCTGAGTGCAAGAAGGCAAACAGGTAAACCATATCGTTGTCGACTGGACCTTCAAGAATCGACCAATGATTGTTTGTTGCTTGTGATATATATTTCCATGATTTTCTGAATAGAACGAACTGTATCCACAGCTGGTCTTGGTTCTACCTGACTTTGCGCTGTTCAGTGGGTTTTCAGTCCGATACCGAGTTCACGCTATTCGATTTCGATTCCCATTCCGAATACTACAGGCATACAAGATCTATCACCTCTTCTAATGGAGAGTACATCCATACACAAACAGATTGTGATTACTATAAGCTACTCAAAACCCACAGAGGAAACAAGCTCAGTTTTGTATGAAATACCCATGCAGAAGTGACCTTTATTCATGCATATTTCTTGCATAAGAGTGGGAACGAGGATGATACCAATGAACAGTAATGCAAGAAAAAACGGGGGGAGCCTAAGGAGGGGGTGATAAACCACATAAAACAAGAACAGCGATGTCTCTGTGTTTCACAATAAAGATTTCGGTGTCTTTCTATGTCTGTACTTGTTTGGTTTCATTTAAACCGTCTCCTTGCAGTGATTATATATATTTCATAATAAGTAGTATGTGAATGACCTGATCAAATTTCCCTGTAAGCAATCGACCGGTTTCGTGGTTCTTATCACTCGTCAGGCATGCGTACCCGGTAGTCTTTTGTCTTCTCATTCATACACTTGTACCCAGGAAATATTTTCATCACAATAACCTCATTTGCAACACCGTATATATATATATATATATATATATATATATCTNAATCACGGTACAATAATGTCCTGGGTCGAAACCAGGAAGGTGGGCAGTAAAAATCAAATTGAACGCTAACTTCGTGATAACCCACAAAGAGCACTGCATAGCTGTTTCGTCCCATTTGGGACTCGTCAATAGCACGTACTTTTTCTATCCTTGTCTGGACATTACCTTTAAAGGCATTGATTGAGCCATTCGCTCAAGGTGATAACCATCGATCTTTGTAGTTTCAGGAGTAAGGGTTCGAAGTTCCAACTCGAATGTTCGCTGTTCGAGTCCTAACAGGGACACAAAAAGTGCGCACTGCTGACGAGTTCCAAACGGGACGAAACAGGTGTTCAGTGAATGCTCTTTGTCGGTCATCACAAATGTTTTCGTCNTTTTCGTCGCATTCAAATATGCTTAGCTTGTGGAGACTTACGGATCTCCCTCAGCAGTAAAACTCACACCCAAAATCATCAACAGAGCCTGTGATCAAAACCAAATGGACTAATCTAAACACTCACCGTCTAATTATGCTAAGTTCTCCATACCGCTATGCTTGACAACAGTCTGACCGTCGCGGTGGGTCAATCAGCCCCACTCTAAACGTATGAAGACGGTAAGGCGCCGTTGTTGATGGGCCGACTCAAATAAAACATTTTGGAATATGGAGAATTTTTCTCTTCCCGAGCACGACTATTAGCAACCAGCCGCGTACAAGAATGATTGAGATTGACTACAACTGGAACGCAGCTATTGTCATTGGGGCAATAATCGAGTCCTCGAATCATTTATTTACGGGCGAAAACAGATCATTTGTGTGTGTGTGTATATGTGAATTGTGTTTTCGGGAAACGCAGAAAACCACCCCCCCCACTAGGGAGTGCGGTATCAGCCGCGTCCTTTTTCTTTTCTTCCAGAATCTGAATATTTATGTGTGGTACATTTTATATCTTTGTCTCTTTTTCAGTATGAGTTCAAAAGACCGCTCAGTCAAGTAAGTCCAAACAAACCGAGCTGTGTGTGTGTGTGCGTGTGAGTTTTTGATTGGTCTTACCACTATATAAAATGGCATGAGATTGTTGGTTAGAAATGTTAAAAAAATAGCCTACTTTTCTGTCATTGTGATTTGTTTCGTCCCGGGTTCGACCGAGTGTTTTCTGTGATCATATAAACTTCGTCTATGGTTTATCCTCACTCATTTTATTTATTGAGTAGCATAAAGCTAAGTCCAAACATTCAGGGTGTGCTTTAATTCGTTTACAAAGTCATACGATGGGATTCCCGGAGCAGAAGGCCCATTTCACCCACCCCTCTGGAGGACTTTAAAGATTCACTGGTTCATCAATCGTGCCGATTTGGTGACACAAAAACCCAATCACATACATTTTACGACTTGTCTTGCTGCTCAGAATGTCCCTGTGATGATCCTAGCTTACGGGATGGCGGAAACGATGGGGGGGGGGGCCACGTTCCGGTTTTCGGACAACTGTGATCAGTCAAGCTTCCCAGGTGGTGTCAGAAAGGCGCTTACGCGTTGCAGCTTCCAGACTATAAACCATAGGCCGATTATACCAACCAACCAGAAGTCGTGTGGCCCAGTCCCACACTTGACCGACTCAGTGAACCGAGCCGATCAATCAAAAGGTACTGACAGAATAAGCACATCGGGATAGAACTAAATCAGGAATTATTGATAAGAAAGTGCCGTGATGCCATAATTCAGATAGACAGCAAGATGACTCAGGTCGACAGCAACCGTTCAATCAGTTCATCGCGACAATCAAAGCCGCACATTGAAAGGGAGAAGGGAAAAAAGAGACGAAGAGTTTTCAGAAGATAACCAAAACGGGACAGGAATGTTCGGCTAGTCGGAATGTGAGTATTGCCACAGAATGGTTCGCAAAAGGTCGATAATAACAACAACATTTAACTGAATGTGATTGGTCCAATTAACTTGTTCAATTATTTCAATACGCCTGTGGCTTACCCACTTCCCACTTCACGTTACGAAGCCCAACCGGGTTGTTAGGACGTATCTATTGGGCTATTCTGTGTACTCGGGCGGTTACTAAGGCTAAACATTTATGAACGAATACGGAAAGCGACGAGTGAATGAATGCCACATAATCACGAAAAATACCGCAATTCACTTTCGAGAGTGCGAATTTTATTGTCGTTCGCTAGACCCATTCTGAGGATTGCACATGATCACAAGCTTTATTTGATAGAACAAAATTACTTTGTTTGTGCATTACTCTGATTCAATTCCGCTCTGTGAATCAGCTGTCTATCTAGATAAAGTATTTGCTTTGGAACAGAGTATTGCTGCTGTTACTAGTGCGTTGTGATTATGCGTCGCGCACTGAGTCGAACTTAGATTACAAGTGCAAATCACATCTCCACGAGTGGCTATTTGTCCGCTATCTCCTGAATCATGAGCGTATTAGCAGTTTCTCGCGCTAAGATCCTGATCTGTTACCTCCCGGTCACTGATATAATAATGCACACTGCACTTCTCTACCTAGGATCACAAATTAGATCACCGTAAAACACAGATACCCTGTTTGAACACGAAATACAGTGCTAAACACTTTTGTATGGACGTATCCCCAAATCCTCTCATTTTGAATGAATGACAGGATGACTTCTGTGTTTACACTGTGCTCCGTACAAACCCATTAAGGCATCTCAAGGTCAACTCTTTCCTTGCATGATGAACTTGTGGCAATCCCGATCCCTGTATGTGTATGTGTGTGTGCAGCAGACCAACCAGTCTCATTATTTTTATCCCTGTATACAGATTCGCCAAGAGCAACGAAAAAGCAAACATGAGAAAAGGCGACCATCGAAAGAGGCTACACGAAGCAGTCGAGCTGAACAGGATAAACTGCAGACACAAAGGAGAGAAGAACCGGAGAAGACTCCCAAGACTAGCAAAGAAACGGAGCTGTTCGAAGAGACAGAGGAAGGAGAAACAGTCAGTCCGGAAGAACTGGAACAACGTCGGGCCAAACGACGTCAAGAGTTGGCAAACAAACTACGTATGAAAGCTCAGGAACGCCAAGCCATGCAGCGTGTAATGGCCAAGGGACTGGACAAAGTATCACAGGATGATTCTCAAGAGACTCCATCTTTTCCATCCGTTCCAGAGGAGGGCAGTGAAGAAGAAGAGGTGGAAGAAGATAGAGACGCGAGACGTATGTCGACCGGTCGTATAAGGCGAAAGAAAAAGGCATTGGAGGAGGAAGAGACCGAAAGCTCATCCAGTCATGGAACAGGTTTTCGCAAGATGGAAGAAGAAATCTCGATGGCCGCTCTGGAGGCCAAACGACGCAGAGCACAAAAAGAAGCGGAAGCGGCCGAGGGATCCAAGCCACCGTCTCGAAGCGATCGTACACCAACTTCGGAACGAACAAGATTAGGTACACAAGAAACACCGATCATTTCACTACCTCCGAAGGACCATGGACTACCCCCACCGAGTCCGAAAGGACCACAAAAGCGAGCACTCAAGAAACCAGCCAGAGAGGATGAAGTAATCCGTATACCGGGGGCGGAATACGAGGATATATTGAAGTCTGACGAGTCTTACGGTAGCGAGGAGGAAGAAGTAGAGGAAGAGGAACAAGAAATGGAAACGGGAGAAATTGGCAAACTTAAGAGGACCTCTTCGAGGCGCCGAAAACGTGGACGTCGCCGGGGACACAAAGCTAAAACACATCGTGGTTCGCAAAAGGATAAACAACCGGTTCCACACAAACCCACTGAGACTGGGATGTTGTTACGTTTTCCGATGACTCCAAAACAATTGCCTCGAGATGCAGCAGTGGCTATGTTGAAAGATTTTCTCGACAAACAAATCGAGGCTGATCAGTTAAGTACCGCACCATCCATTACCTTACGTGCACTGGCAAACGCCTTTCAGGATCCCGATAAGGCGGAACACGCTGAGCAACTGATGCAAGCATTTGAACAGTAAGCAACTGCTTTCAGATTCAAAACATGCTACTTTTTAAACTTGTAAAACTGAAGTTCCGTTCGATGGAGTGATACGTGTCATTAGGCTTGTGAAAACTTACAAGGAGTCTATCTGAATTGAAGGTGATGAATTGATAGATTCACAACTGCTTATGGGCAAGAGTAAATGTATATCTTACGACTATAGAGCTGGTCTGTGCCCGCAGGCTTGCATTTCTGCACACCATAAAAGACAACGCTGATGTTAAGCCATACCGTGATTGTTGGAAATTCCGTCACATATACACAAATTATTCAGCCTTCAGTTCTCGCTGGTTCTCGACTGAATTCAATTCAAATCTTGCAGGTTGGTTGATAGTTTGATTGTCTTCATCTGTTATTATCAGGGATGAAAACAAGTTGCTTCTTAAAATTTGACTAATATTCTTAATTATTTTCCCGTTCTGGTATTTCGTTTTTATCGAATACAAACGCGCACAGGAAATATTTAGGAGAAAGTTGGGCGACGGTGATGGGGCTTGAACATCGAACCTCATCACCACCATCACCACTTGTATGAGGATTGAAGCGGCCCAGTTTATTGTATCCCGTTTAAGTAGACCAATGAACTGTGCGGTACGCGTTTAGTGTGGTAGGCATACATGTAGCACGGTCTGTGGGCCGGTGAGCAGATAGGAGCGAGAAACACGCGGGCACTTGAGCAGACAACTGGCTCAAGCGTCACATGCCATCTGGAAGCTGTCAAGCTGGACAGAAGAACACTCGACGAATCAATCAGCGTGGACAGTCCAATGTTAACACCTGATTGGTTGAAGGCCATCGATATTTTAATTTATTTGGTCCGCATGACGTGAGTGCGTAGGTGCGTCGCGTGTGGTGACAGGCAGCATCCGCCACTCAGTCAATCAGATCATAGGCATTTAGAAAACACGTGACACTGTACCGTAGGTCACACCAGGGCTGTTTAAGCAACATATTAGAAGGAGGTTTCGATCTGTCGACAAAAACAGACAAGCGGGTGGGGATGGGTTTGTTCGGCGTTGTTTGAACGTTCCCAATTTCCACTGACTACCTTACACATTTGTGAGAATTGGAGCGATTTTACACTGAAAAGACATACTGCTACTAGCAAATTACCGTTGATACAAACTCCAAGTTTACCTTAACCTAGGCCTGATAAAAAAGAGGTAGATGAATCCTCCTGCTCAGAATACCCTAAATTCCTTCCGATGAACGAAGGTCTGAATGATATCTCGTTACGCACTCAACGAATGTCGCATCCAAAATGGGTGCTCAGCATGATTAGCCTCGGGGCATTCTATTTGTATCCTTGCGATCCGAACTAATGCAATCAATCAAAATCAAACTCATATTCATTCACGCGGTCAGGGACAGGGAACACGTAATTTCAGGAACTGTGCGTGTGCAAGTAGTATAAAACAGTGGAATTTGGAACTTATAATAAAAACCACCGGGTTTAATTATCCACAGCAATAGTTGTGCAGAAACTCACTAGCGATACGCATTTTTTTGTCTACCAACCGGAACTTGAAACTTGGATCTTTGGGACGGGAGTCGAAACCCTGGCTTTTGAACTACACGGTCGACGGTCGATATCTAAGGTAAAGTAAAATGTATTTAACTTGTGCAGAGTTGCAAAACACACTCCCATCTAGTGCGACACGCACCCAAGACCACAAAAGGAGCTTTGTGCCCATCGGAATGGAGTGGGTTAGCCCAAGGTAGCATTATAGAAAAAGAAAAACAAATATGAGTTTTGTTATCAGTAGTATTACACGTAATTTTGTGGATCAAGCTTCTCTGCGGCAGACCTAGTCAAGAGTGGTCCAATCCGGGAGGATATTACCTTATTTTTCATGGTCTGCTGTGGTATTTTGGTTTGCTGTTCTCCAAACCGATGTCTTTTGGTTCCAATTTCTTACCGCCCCCTGTCACTCCTCTGTTAACACCGTCTAGGGCGCTTGGTCTGGATGAGAAAGATCCGGCAACGGTAATGCAGACAATTCGAGAACGACTGGACGCAGGTCCGTCCGGTAAGATGGCTCCGTTCAACAAAATGGTCAACTTGCTCAGCATTATTCTCGCCATGGATCCGGAATCAGCGGAACAGGCGGATCATGTGTTCGAGGTGGGTGGGATCACTAACAAGCTAGCTAGTTTGGGTTCCTAAGACTGAAATGATGCCGAACAGAGCGATAGGTTGAACGTATTAGGTTTCGTTTTCTTTGATTGGTGGGTTGATTGACTCATTATGTGCACGATTGGCGGATTACCCAAAGACGTATCCCTTTAAATCGAGTGAAAGTGGCCAAAAGTAGCGCTACAAGGTTAACCGATTTTGCCTCGAAAAGCATGTACACGATGCGCATCTAAACCATTGGGACACTCTAATCTTTCGATAATCAGAAGATACAGACAATCGGAAAAAGTTAATATATTCAATAGCACTCATATTGGTGAGTAGTATGTTTGGATGGTGCCTGTGGGAATTATGATGGTCTATTTCAAGCGAGGCGTTTTGTAGTTCAAATGAGTACCCCAGAGGTGAGTGTTGGGCGACAAGGAGACTAGTGGACGACGTGGGTGATCAGAGTTCTGCATTATTTGATACACCATACTCTAGTCTCGAATTCAATGGAACTGTGTGGACTACAACCCCATTGATTCCACTCGTTCCAGATAAGTCTTGGAATGCAGCCCCTTGACCATCTTGGTAACCATTCTTTGTGGATGTTTCAGAATCTTAGGATCGCGTTGCAGCTATGGATTCCACGCTTGAATGGCATATTCTACGTGTCCTCAGAGTTTCAGAAATGGGTTGAGATCAAGTGGACTGGAAGCGGGCCGCTTCCAGTCTTGGCTTCCACCAATAGTTAACCATAAGTTTGCGAGGTATCGATTTCGTACTGCGGCGTTGCCGTGTTGATATGGGCAAGGTGAAAGGCTCTGGTATGTGTTGGGATAGATAGTCTCAGCGCCAGCGATCTCAAATCATCCGAAAAACGCATCTCAGACCACAAAACAGCCGTTCCTTCGTTAACCAATTGAAACCCTTTTGTTTCTCCATGATATCCTACCGATATTGATGTGAATAACCCGATCTGTATGGATTAAACTTCTCCCATTAAGGTGATCAAAACGCGTGGCATTCGGAACACCATTCATGAACATGAATTTGACTTTTGTGCAAAGGACGCAGCAGGAGCCGTTTTCGAAAAGTTTGCTGCGAAGCTCTTGTGCGAATTGCTAACTCAAGTCTCATTTACAAATACACCGGAAAAGATTGATCTTTTAGAGGCGGATTGAATATTTGGACGTTTTATTCGTTCAGGTAAAACAATTCGGCATCCAAGTGTTTAGCCTGACTTACGTTAACGGGTCGTTATCGAACTTTGATCAACGAACATTTTATGGAAGTCAGAATCTTGCCCTCGTTCACTTGTCCCAAGTTGCGCTTTTGTATTATGGCGAAAAACAGCAAAATAAACATCGGAATTTAATCATGATTGAAATGTCCCTGCGGTTTTGTTGAGCCCTACTTTGAACCACTGCCAAATCACATTTTTTGAGCATCTCCTAATTGAGAATTTGTGGTGATAGTACATTCTGGTCGGATAACAGCATGCACGCACCACTATGCGGCTTCCAGAGAACCAATCGGGAAACGGATAATCCGACCGATCTGATTTTCCCAAGTACGTGCAATCGAATTGGTTGATTACTGGAGAGCTAAAATACTAATGAATAGCGAAAAATCGATCTATGTGTGATCGGCATTTGTGATATTAATTTGCTTGCTCCTCTGAATAGAAACAGATGTATCTCAAAGTTAAAGTTTTATTTTGGGAAATACTTACAAGTGATTGCTTTTCTAGTCCCCTAGGGTCTAACACACATGAATCGATTCACGGTTCATAGAAAGTAGACGAATGTTCCAATTTATCCTTGTTTCGTGCACTGGTACGGATGTTGAAATTTAGGACGTTTCAAACCTTCATCCAGTTTGTGTTTAAGGAATCAATTGTGGGCACAGAAACAACGTGTGGTGGTAGAGAATTCCAAGTAGTACACACTCTGAGGGCTTGTTTTTTTGTATTTCATATGACAGCGCGATTTAATGTGTTTTCAGTCCGAGTCCGAGTTCATGGTAGTCACAGTTTATTTCATGCTGCTGTCCGATTTTTCAATGTTTCATTCTCGTGTGAATGAGTGAATCAACCAGTTTGTGTGCATCAAGGTTAGGCATGGAATTGTGAACGTCGACGAGGCACACCTGCATTGTTATGGGTGATCATGGTGTTGTGGTCATTTTAAATCCAAGCCATTGTTACGTAACATGAATCCAAGGCACTTAGCCTTCAGTGAAACGATGTTAATCATTTCACGTAATCCAATTTTGTGTGCGCAAACGTTTCTGACGCAATCACTCAAATTTCCTTGGCACTGATTCTGATTTGCCTCTCTCCTGATTGTTGTCCGTTTAACCACTGTAGTAGTTATCAAACCTTGCTTGTATAAATACCAGAGTGTTTCACGTTGTAGCGACTGAAGAGATTAGAAAAAATGTTAAAATCTCTCGCAGTGTTTGTCTTCTTTCTGTTTGTGTGATCAAACTCCACCACTGCCATATAGCTTTCTGTATGTTCTCAGCTTTTTCCCGGGTGGAAGAATCTTGGATGAAGTGAAGATGCGCATGTCATTATCTCCGTTTGTATTTCAGAGATCTTAACACATCCATGATGCCGCCGCGACATTCGGTTACTCTTTTTAGGCGCTCAACGTGTGCTCATTCAGGACTGCTATGAGATGTCCAGGTAGTCGTTTCTTTTCTGGAACACTGCGGTTTCCAGTACATTGCACGAATCTGATGGGATAACGGTACAAGTACTATCGAAAGATAGCAATCAAAACCGTGATACGACAATGCAGGGTTAATTGCTGAACAAACCTCTAAACTGAATTGTCTTGCCCGCAACTCCCTTCCTGGAACACGACTACATCAATGATTATTAAATAAATCAATAAAGCGGGCGTGTGTGTGTGATAAAGTATCTTTATTGGTATCATAATCCTACTGTTATTTCACTCGTTCACTCACTTTCAGTCTTCGTTCTCATCCATCATTCAGGAACAAGCAGCATTGTCCTATATCGGACAGCCGGAAGTTGCTCATCAGCGGCAACAGTTACTCGCGGCACTGGTGGAAGATATCACGTCCCAGCTCAAGTACGAATATGCTGTCTTGAATGATCTAGCTCCGGGACAACGGGCGGTGTGGATGGCCTTGGAGACCCAGGCGGACACGATGCGAGAATGTTGTGAGAAAATTGGTTTTCTAATCAGGTAATTATGCATCAAACTCGGTGATGGCGCGCCGGGCTAGGGTAAGGGGGGAGTGCTAGTGACATAAAACGCGTTGGTTGCATTGTGTGTGTGTGCCTATTTGTTTGCTAAGTCTCTATTCAGTTTTGGCGTTGGTTGCCCGGTGTTGACGTCACCAAATTATCACTCCGGAGATGTGTGTTCGAATCCCACCACCACAGCTTGACTTTCTCCATTGTGTATTTAATGGCAGCCCTTTGATTGGCCGCTGCTCCCTTCCTGAAAATTCTATCTTTGTGTATTCAATAAAAGTAAAATGAAAAAGAAAAGTTAGCCAGCACTGATCTGATTGTCACGCTCCCATAATCCCCAGATTTTGAATATATGCTGAGGTCGAGACGATGTAGTGATTGTATTAGTAGTAGTACGCACTGAACTCGGAATACGAACCACGCAATACGAATCACGGACTGAATCACGTAAGCACTGGACCGCACTGGCACTAGTACGCAATATCCCACGTAACTGAGACGCGAGGAAAAAGGCCACAGGAATGGTCGCTCGTTTTGTCGAAGAAACAAGGGGAGTAAATAATAGGTACAAAGTAGACTCATTGGTTATCCAGGCTTCTACCAATCGCGTTCCAGTATTGCTTGCATCATTCTGCTTCTGTCTGGGTTGCCCGATCTCTCATAGGCTGCTACGATCTGCCTATGGTACGAAGTCAGAAGCAGTGATACGCACGTGCGTCATTGACATTACCCGTGAAATTTGATTGATCGCAGTTGTCCAAAAATCGTAACGCGCCGCTCCATGATATGTGTCATCTCGTGGGCCCGGATCACCACAGTTTCATGGTGAACTGAACCATTTTCATGGAGACCGACAACGGCGCTAGACACAAATTGTTCAAACCTCAGCTCAACAACAGCTTGATAAATCAATGGAAGAAATGAGGAACCCCAAAACTCCATGCTATGTGCTAAAGCACAAAGCGTCAACTATTCTTGGGCGGATTTATAAAACTTTTAATTCAGTTGCTCAACAAGCCCTAATTTTTAAGTTAAACTAAACCCGTGGTTCTTTGCGAGAGAGAGAGGGCGCGAACGGTTTTGTGAGTAATGATTAGGTCTTCTCACTGCCAGTGAATTTTAATAAACCAATGCTTTCTTCTTTTTCTTTGAGTTCGCATCCTCCGATCGATCGACAAGGGGATGATTTTGACCAATTTACATCTGCACAATTACAGGACACATACGAAGAATTCACTCGCGTAGCTGGTATGACCGAGTTGGAGACCAGTTCCAGACAACTGCAATCACGTACACGAACAACACAACAGACCAGTTCCGCCAAACGAGTGAAACGCATGACGAAACCGGATCAGAAGAAGAAACGTCGTCCGGAAGAGGAAGAAGACGAACAAGTCACTGAACCACCGGAGACGACTGGCTCGTTCGAAGATAAACCACCCGGGGAAGAGAAAGATGGTTCCTCGTCTGGTTCGGCCGAGTCCGATCAGGTCGAAATTGATCTGACAGCGGTTGAGAATGAGTTACGAATGCTGGATGAGGAACCGGAGGAAATTTTGAAAGCCATGGAAGCGGAAGAGATGACCGAGCCGACCAAATCACCATCCTCCCAGAAAACTACGGACGTACCCACGACCAGTACCGCTGAAGGAGTTTATCCGGATCCGGCCTTTCTCCGCGGAGAAGTTAAACGATTTGTACTCGGTCCTGAAGAATCGGGTATGTAATTATTAATTCGCATGATGAGTGAGTTGGTATTCTCGTGAAACATTTGGCCTGACTTGACTTGACCTGGTTAATTTGGTAAGCCTAGAAATAAATCTATTTTGTAGGAGATTATGCACATTTATAAACATGTTACTTATATTCCACCGGCCACTGGTGGTGGTGCGTTTGTTTAGTCACACTGTTTTGGTAGTTCGTGGTGCACGGTTCGATCCCCGCCACCGCGACCTGACTTTCGTGGGAGGCAGCATTGCTGTCGTCCGTGTCAATACCACGCCTAACCCAGTGGCGGGGCCTTATGTGGTTCGCCACTCCAAATCGCAGGCCTTAAGAGTGGTGTATAAGCTAAAAGAAAACAACGAACTATGATGGTTGAAGTACGCACAAATCACGAATTAAGTACCAGGAATCACGGACGCTATGTAAGCACTGAATCACATTGCCACTTGCACGACGGTATCCCACGTAACCCCGATACAAGGAAGCAGAATTAGAAGTTCGTTTATTTGTAGAAATCAAGGGGGTTGAATAAAATGTGAAAAGGAAGTTCACTGGTTATCCAGGCATCTACCAGTCACGTGTTCGTATTCTTGTTATCATACACCCTGGGCCACCCGGCCTCTG